ATCATACAAATTGTCTTCCAGATGAAGTTAGAATTGGCTTTCCTTTGGAGTGCATCTGGTATACCCCTGATGAATGTTTTGAAAGAAAGAGGTTCTTGTGTTCAAGGTTCATCCACACCATAGCATTTATCAGAACTTTAATCACTTTTGCAGCTGAATAGTATTCAATTGCATATCTAGACCACTTTTATTCATCCTTTCTTCTGTTGATAAACACTTGGGTTGCTCCCACCTTTTGGCTATTGTGAATAAGGCTTCAATGAACATTGGTGTTCAAGTATCTGTTTGAGTCTCTGCTTGCAGTTATTTTGGGAGTAGAATTGTTGGAGCCTATGGTAATTCTATGTTCAACTTACTGAGAAATCTCTGCAATACTTTTTCTTACAAACCTACGTACACCTCCACCACGAGGCTCCTCCAGCCAGGGAGATGTCTTCAATAATTCTCACGTTTTATTGCTGGGGCCAAATATCACTGTCTCTGCTACTGGCTATGTACAGATGAGTGTCTGGTACAGGTGAATGTCCTTTTTCAAATGCTATTGTACGATTAATCATCCCAAATAGAATTACAGGGCTATGGTAGTTGTGTGTCAAGTTGGCTGGGCCTGGTTAAGTGGCTGGGCAGCTGGATATAGTTATTCCCCATGATGAGATTGGTAATCAAGTTCATGGTGGAACTACTGGAGCAGCTAAGTAGGTGCCTTAGGGATGTGGTCTGCTTCCAGTACATAAGGAGAAACTTGGACAGAGCTGTTTGGCATGCTTGGACCTGCATTTGGGGTGAGTCTTCTTCAGCACCATACCATGTTTCCTGCCAATTTTGGGACTGTCTCTGGACTTGAACTAGTGGCCTTCTATGTTGCTTGTAACTTGGGACTGTGGCATTTTATTTATCAACCTTGGGTTTGTCAGCCTCAGCCACCAGCAGCTGAGTGAAGAAAAGCCTCTAGCTTCAGTGAGCTGGGAGCAAGATGCAGAGCTGAAACTCAAGGTGGAGGAGGGCTTTTAACCAGCCCCTAGAGCTGGCACTTTGAACTCAGACTTCTAGCCTCTTAAACTGTAAGAGAATAAATCCCTGTTTGTTAAAGGCACCCATTTGTGGTATTTTCTGTTAGAAAGGCACTAGAGAACAGAAACCAAGGCCTCTTAGCGTGTGTTCGTTCTGAGTTCAGGGCTGCTCTGACTCTGCTGTCCTGTGC